ACAGCTGTTGACGAATGTTCGAGCTTAACTGTCGAGAATGGTATCTATGCTTGTATTTACGGAGAACCAGCAAACATTGTTTTCCAAAGGGCTCAGGCCCACCTGTCAGAATTATGACAACTCTTGCTCGCCTGCCTATCGGCGCTCTCCGTTTAATACAACGTACCATCTCGACAGGGCTCCGGGCTTTCTACTGGCTTACTTATCGTGAACACCGTGGAAGATCTCTCACTCAAGTTTCATCACTACATTTCTTGATACATTTTCTCTCTCCGAAAGTGGCATACAGACGCATCAAGACCAGCGATCTTGCTGCTGCCTGTGGTTTTCACCCACAAATCGAACTTGAAAATGCAATGCGGACTTTGATACGGCTCCTACGGGATCATCGAACATGGGATCTTGCTGGAGCTATCAGCCCCTCAACCTTCCCCTCAGTCATGCCCAATGTGCATGCCCGAGCAAGTTGGTGAACCTTGCTCCCACTCACTGAAAAATACACTTTTGAGCATTGCTCAATGCCTTTTGGAACTGGATAGCTCTTCGGCATATCGACTTTAAAAGTCACTTGGCTCTCAGGCTCAGCATGCTTCCGACACCGCAGGCAGCAGCAGGTCAGCAGGCATCCCAAAAGAAAACCGGCTGCAAAGACCAAAGCGGTCGCTGCTTCCAGGCTCAGCATCGCAAGCGCCGTTTCCGCGTCCGGCGTCATACCTCGGATGGTATAAGCTTCATTCCAAGAAAAGCTGTATCTCACAGTCTGCAAAAACCAAGATTCTTTCGAAATGCGCAATCGAAAGTGCTCGCAAAAACGTGCCATTCGGCTCAGACAACGTGCAAGACTTACTTGGCTATTATGATTCTAATTCGGCTCTAAATCCTTTAAGGATTAGCTCGCAAAATCTGCTGGGGTAGTGTTGCGTTTCCTTCCAATTGACTTCCTTGGATGGCAAATGATCATGACGACCATCACAAACGCAAACCTTCAGGCTTTCCAACAACCGAGTACTATCTGTCTCAATCCTCCAGGTCTTTCTGACCAACTGACCTTTCTGGTTCAACTTGACTGAGCAAGCATCCACAAATGTTGAAAACGTCTTTCGTTTCCTCAGAAAATCTTTAGTCTGATTCCATCCCCAATAAGCACATCTCTTCGGCCATTCAATCGCTATGAAATCGGCTACTTCCGACATCCGTAAGAAACCTTTCCATAGCTCCTTCTGTATCTGGTACAACTCTCGAAGATGACCCATATAGTCCTGACCAAACTTCTTGATACAAATGTACTGAAACGGACATCCTCCTGTACACGGAATCGACGACCACAAGACAACAAGCTTTCCTCTCTCCCGGCGGCTTATCATCTGCTCCCGAATTGACTCGATCGTGTCCGATCGGGTTCCGTCATCCGCCTCAAAAGAGTTTTCTGTGGATCCGGGGTTCCAAAGTGATCTGGGGTTCCACAGACCCTGGGTGTGGGCAGAGTGAGCAGTGTTGGGACCTTGCTCTAAAACTCTGCGCAACCAAGAACTTTGGCTTCAAATCCCTAGTTGGGATTGATGCATCTTGCTGATTTGTTTTACTTTTTTATGATGCCTCATCACACCAGGGTTCCACAGGCCCCTGCATTTCGGCAGTGTGAGCCGTGACCACAAAATTGGCGCATACCAACCAGCGCATCTTGACTTACGCTGATTTGACTTTAAAGGTGTCATCATGCGCGCTATTATTTCAAGCATCATGAGTTAAGTGATCACATAATGATGCTCTTGACCACAGGTAAGCGCGTGATCAATGCATTTTGCTGATGCATCCTGCTGTTGCATCCTGGGGTGAATATTGTGTCTACATGCGCTGCCGTGTCTTGATGTTGCACCTTCCATTGAGAGGATGCATGTAGTAGATGCATGTAGTTGACGATGCGCGCACGCGCACAAACCATATGTCTTCAGTTTTGTCAATCTTGTGGATGTTCTGCTACGCTACCATGACCTCACACACACACATCAGACCAGACTTCACAGTCTTCCAACCGCATAGACTCAGATTGCGTCACAGGGATCCTGTGGAGCAAACAGGAATGTTACTATGCACACAGCCACTTTGAATTGCCAGACTTTATCTTTTTGCAAGATCGCACGCTTGCATACACAACACGAAAAAACATTGATTCTCGTCCCTGAAATGTCATTTACGAACGTCGCGACGCACGACTCGTACATATTTTAGTTGTCTGGTGCATTTGGGGGGTTCTTGTTGACTCACCCTCATGTTTGGTGGTTTGCGCTCACCGTTCCGGCTGCTATTTCAGAGTTCAATACGGCTACAGTTTTCACGCTGTTGAGTTTCTAGCTTCAGTACCTCGCTCTGTTCCAAACCACAACCAGAAGATGCCACACTCAAAACTTGGAGGTGTGATTTCACAACACAGAAAGTAAACACAAACAGCGAAAACCTGTGGCGAGACACCAGATAGAGAAGAAGGTGATGCAGGAAAAACAGCTTAAGGCAGGGAATGTGGGAAGGTTTTTCCAAATCAGTTCCCAGAAAAACACAACTTGGGCTGTAAGGAAGAGAGCCAGGGCAAAAGCAATGACAGAGAGAGCTGGCACCTCAAATACACTAAATACACAAAACAAGAGCAGGAATTAAGGTTGAGATCTAAGCCTTTAGGAAAAACGAACGCTTATTCAATCCACCAAGCGAATAGTTCAGTTGGAAACCACAACATCTAGTGAGAAGGGGTCTTTAGGGACACCAGGTTTAAAGTCAAATCAAAACAAGAATCAGTGCGGAGCACATTAAAATGCGAAAACATATCAAGCGTAACAAAACCAACTTCTTTCTGACATTGAGCCCTCTAGACTCCAGACTTTTCATCCGCCAAGCAATGTTGGGTGAGCTCACGTCTGGCGCAAACTACTTCTATCTATTCAACATCCTCAGGCGTGTTGCCTTTGCCTTCCGCCTCAACAATTTCATCATCTTCCTTTCCTTCCTCTTCCTCGCCCTCCTGCGGGTCAGCGGTCTCACCACCTGCTCAACAAGGCTTCCAAAACATGCAGCCCAAGCAGAAGGCCTTAAAGAGCTAGGGGCGATAACAACGTCATAGCAGTGAACCTAAACTTTATGAGTGGCCACGGTGCACTCAGTGCAAAGTGAGAATCGCAACCAAACTGACAAAAATTGAAAAATATTCGCCTTCAGCCGCACGCTCCTCAGCATCCTTCTTCTCACCCACCTTCGTTTCACCTGTCGCTGCTGGAATCAGCTTCTGCACCAAAGCTGCCTGCAACGCAAGGAACAAAAGCCATCAGTTCCAAAGGTAGAAACAAGTTTGATTCGCCTTTACTTCTTCCACTTGTTGTTTCGATTCGCCCTTCAAGAAGTGATCCCTCAGAATGACCTGAAATTAAATCTTGGGCACACTGCATTAACACATTTCGCGAAACAGGCACTGACCAAAAAGTTCAACTTGAGTTTGCTGCTGCGATCTCCCGGGTGTCTTCCTTCTTGAAGCGCTTGGACCCAACCTCGCGTCTGAAGAAACCAACCCAACCCAACCCCGCCCCCCGGCGCACAATCTCAGAAGAAAGCAACGATTCAAGTCAGGTAGCGCAAATGACTTGCTTGCCTCCGATCTTCAAGCCCCAGCTATTGTTGTTTTTGTGGTACTGTGGGTTGCTGACATGAATCTCCCCTTTAGAAGCTGCGGGTCTCTTCTTGCTGCCTTTGGCCTACACAAAAGGTTCAAAATATAAAGTCTGTTCATAATTGAAACAAACAAATCAATGCTGAATCACAGAAACATAACATATCGCCTCAGTTGATTCCTTCTCAGGATGCTTTTCGGGTGAAGCAGCCTGGACCTCGCCGGGCTCACCTGTTCCCAAATTGCCTGAAGGTTTCTTGGTGACAGGTGATGGTTTCGCCTTTGCATCCTTGCGTTGCGGCAAGCGCAACGCTGACGGCCTCTTCATAGGCGGTGCCTCCTCACCCTCACTACCAGACAACTCCGTGATAGGGCCCAGCACAGGCATGGTTGGGTATGGTAGCTCTTTTGGGTGTTTGAACTCACTCAAAAAGCTGCAGGCATATTAATTATTGCTTTACAAAGTACGGCTCAAGCTTCTCTGATATCCCAGCAAACACGCATTTGAAAAGATTGGGTCACACACCCTTCAGGTCTAGAAAATGATTCCACAAGCCGGCGCATTCACCACTGAACAACAGGGCGCTCAATGCCTAGTTTTTGAATCCATGTCTATCATGGAACTGCCAGCTGTACCACTGTACCATGTTTAATACTCAAAAAGAGTCTGGCCAAGCTTGGGCTGCCAACTGCGCGATTCAAAGCTAGGACTGTTCATGTGAGAATTATTTCAACTTCTACCGAACACTGAAAAAACACATCGTATCAAGTTTGTATTTACATTCATTCTGGAGGCCCAACGCAGACTCATCCCTGCGCTACTTCAGCTGAATCCAAGAGTGTGGCTCGACAGTCACTGTGCATGTCAGGTACATCTTTGGCTTCAACGGCGTCATCTTGCCACCGCGCAATTCCACCTTTCAAGCTGACAGCAATTCCCCTCCCACAAAATGTTCTGTATATATAATGTTTCAAAGCTTCGGTTCAATTTCATTCATTCTGTCAAATTGAACAAAAACCAAATTGAACAAAAACAAACATATTTGGATGACATTGGTCTAGCCTCCCACAGAATGTCCACCATCTCATTCTGAGGAACTCGGTCCCACTTCCCGATGAACAAAGCTCCTAGAGAGTTCGCCTTCGCCTCTGCACCCAATGGATTTGGCCGGAACACATTCGTGCGTTTGCTCTCCAAGGGGGTGACATTGTACCTGAACGATACAGGGACCTGCTCATCTTCATCCACCTTGGGCAAGAAGCGACGGGAATACAACATACAGTACTACAACAGACCTTGTTCCACAAAACAAAAAGAACAAACTTGGAAAGCATTGAGGGAGACCTGCTAAGCCACCTTCGGATGAAGTTTCGGTGACACATTGTGCTCCAGCACCCCCACATCAGCAAGCCCGTGTGTAGTCGCGCAAACATGCATAAACGCACACACTGCCATAGGTTTCTTCTCAAAAACGACCAACTCCACATCCGACATCACCTTCCACGCGATGCCTGCCACATCCCTCTTGTTGTCACCCCGCACGATTTTCACCTCGTACGTGCCGGTGTTAAATCCAAAGAGCTCAACTCCGCTCCATGTTGCAGCAGCATCTGTGTCGTTTCCCAGCCACACATTGTACTCTTTGTCCAAAAGAATTGATGGTTTACCAGCTTTGCCAGCAACCAGGGCCAACCTCAGGCAAGACATGTTGAATGAATATTGATAATTATGGCACCCACCTCTAAAATCCTTGAACCGCAATTTAATACGTTTCTTGCGCTTGTCAGTCCCCACCTGTCAGATGCCCCTGGTGGAGCACTCATGGAAGCGCCCACCACGCGGCTCACATCAATCGGCTTAGCCCCGTGTTCAATGGTGAAGTCGGGGAGTCCAGACACTCTCGGAGGCAAGGCTGAGGCTGAAGTGGTAGTACTGGTGTCCCGTGGTGGTGGAAACTCACGCTCAAAGCTGTCCTTCAAAGCCAAGAGCTCTTTGTGCTCTGTGGTCTCAGCCTTGAACTTTGTCAGCAGTGCGTCTGGCCAAATAGGCCCAGCAGCTGTGCAGCTGAGGAGATGCAAGTTGTCCACCATCAAAGTCGACTGTGGTCGAGGTCGAGTCTTGGGCGGGGATGTATCCAAGGAATCCCAGTGGCGGAAGACCTTGAACTCGAGGTCAGCAAGTACCTTCTTATGCTGCGCATCTTCCCTGAAAAGCCCGTAGTACATGAGATTGCACCCACGTTCCAACGTTTTCTCCACAACCGCTTGGCTGAACTCAGCATACCTCGCTAGGAACTGGCATGTCAAAAGCTTGCCTGGCAAAGATTCATGAAACCGAAAGAATGGTTCCCCAGTTCGAGAGGACAAACAACACACAATCTTGACTAGAACCTGACGCGGGACGTATTTGGCAGCACATCCAGCCACACAACCAAGTCAGAGTCCTGGATGGTCAAACTCTCGAGGTAAGACTCCACAATTTTTCGGTGACAGGGAATGCCCTTCCTTGCTCGTGTTCTCTGGTAAAAACGAGCGTCCAAAAATTCATTGGAAACATCAAAGGAAAAGAAGCTTAAAGCAACGCAACTATTACAATAACAAGCGTCTGTTCGATCCGCGCAGCTGCTCCCGGTTTCAACCCTGCATCAAAATCGTATCCTTGCATTTCACTCACCTTCAACAGGGGAAGTGGGCCCAACAACGCAGACTGGAGCGTGTCCGTCTCCAACCACTTGCAAGACTTCCCAGCAAAAGGCGTGATGACGCTCTGTGTGAGGGGCCTTCTGTCAGTCCCAGAGCGTGAAGAATCTTTTGAATACAGAAGCGTCAGCGTATTCGTGAAGTCCATATCACTCTTGAGCAGCGCGTCTTCCAGCTTGCGTCGATGTTTGAGAAGTGCATTCATGCTCGTTGCTTGGTGCAACCACGGAAGCTGGATGTGCCCAATGTTCCGCGGCGAAAGGGAGCAAATGTTGTTCACGAAATCCAGGCAATCCAGGATGTACTGTGTTGAACTCGGCCACACAGTTGCATCCAAGGCGCACACCACATACCTTGAACAGTGCTTTAAGCATAAATACAAAAAAGAAGCAGGGTCATCAACAACATCAACCAGCACAGTGTTCAAGCTCTTAATATGATGGAAGAATACAACAGTTGGACCGAGGGCAAGAAAACTTGCAGAGAAAGCTAAGTTGCACTTGTCGAGTCTCGTCTCCACGTTCAGACATGTATTTCGAGAACTCACTCATAGCATTGGCCAGCCGCCGCTCACCCTCTGGTTCAACGAAGCTTATTGACATAGTCTTGGCCCTGCCTCAGATACAAGCATATTCTTGGGCAATTGAACACAGAGCGCTTCAAAAGTCAAAACCCAACAACACCATCAACCTGAAAAATGTTTGTACTAATGATGGGTACGTGACTGCTGTCTGTTCTTCACATACTTCATGTCCTTCGCCGTCTCTGCAGTGCGTGTCGCCTTGGTCGGCAGCTTGTCTCGGATCTTCTGGATGTCTGCCTCAATCTGACTTTGGACTTGGTTGAAGGTGGCCCTGGTCAGCTTCTCTTGAAGTTCTTGGGCACGGGACTCTTGCTCAGTCTTGTCCTTCGACTCCTGCATCTCCAGTAAATTCCTGACAGGGACATTGCCAAGTTTGGGTTGTTTGAATCGGAGTTTCCTCAAACTACCTAAACTTGAAAATGACTTTCACCAACGCTATCCTGACTTAAAGCTATATGACCAAACCTGACTTGACTAGCTCCTGAAGGGGCCCAGTGACTTCATGTCTCCGGGCGGGACTTGTTGCTCAGCGCACAATTGAAGTTCCGGGTCCATGCCACCAAGGAAAAACATGTTCAAGAGCTTCTCCTTTGCAGCTGCAATATCACTGCTTGGGAGGCGTTTCTCCAACTGCGCATTGAAGTGGAGAAACAAGCCACAGCAATGACGCAACAGGTTCGCATCCTTGAGGCTAGGGGCTCGCTTCATCCCTGGTGGAAGCTGGTCCCAGTCAGAGGAAAGCCGCTGGATGAATAACTTTACCTCACAATGACTGACGCTCTAAACTACCCCACCCCTGAAACAATGTGGTATCTGAAATAATGTGAACCTTGCGTGTGGCAGCCCTACATGTGTCTAAAACATTTTTTGCTTCTTGGGACCTTGAGCGCACAAAACTTCTATCAGTCTTGGGAAGCCAAAGGTTACAAAGCACAAGAGTTCGCTGGCAAGCTACCAGCTTGCAGTCATCCAGGTTGGTGCACACAGAAACCCATTGTTCGGTTGCACCCGAACTGGAGGAATATCCAGTGTTGAACAACCCCTTCGCCACAATCTCATGGCCCAAATAAGACCTCAGACCCCTGATGCTCACCTCCTTCTTCAAAATGACCACAACTTCTTTCTCTACACCAGACTGCAAATTCGAAACTGCGGCAGCTTCAGCCTTCCCGATCTGGAAAGCCCTGACGATAGCTGTGGCTGAACCCCAGTCCTTGCTTGCAGCGATGGCCAGCAAACCATCACTGTGGCAAAAACAGGCGATTGAAGCAAATAAGAAAAACAATACAAAAGGCAGCCTCAAAAACAACAACAAGCTTCATCAAACTGCTGCTTCGCTGATCCAAAACTGGCCTTGGACAGGACTTCAACCTGTCGAAGGAAGTTGAAACAGTGAGGTGACCTTCGCGTGGTTGTGGATGCTAAGGTGATTCCCCGATTTGCCATCACCTGTTCTCTGATGTTCCCAAACTTGCCCATCGTAGCGAAAACAGTTCGCCCCAGGACCTGCAAGGTCAAGCAACTCTTTCAAAACATGTTTGCGAGAAACTGCTGTGTCTTTAACCATTGTAACAAAAAGAAAAGGGACCTAGTTCAAAATCTGGAAACTTGACACTTAAGAACATTGGGACAGGCCTGAAACGGCTTTGGTAAATCTTCCTTGGGAATAGCCAGCGATCTAATGGCAGCCAAGATGGCTACCATGGCTGTCGACCTGCGCCACCCCTTAACATAGCCGACCGAGAACGGTGGCAACAGGCCTCAGGTTGAACTTGAAATGAAAAGGTTTGAGCTGAGACTGCCATTACTGGTGACAACATGCATAACCTGCGCGTTGTTTGCCTTGAGCTGCTGACCTTCATGGAGATCAAAATGCGGTCGATCAATCTTGCTCTCAAGCATGGCTTCAACATAAGGGTCGCATATTGTAAGCTTCTCCACTCCACCCAAGTCTGGGTTTGTGCGAAACCTTGAGAGCAAGCAACGCAGTACACACCTGTTGTCAACAGACCAAACATGTCATTGCCAACACAACAACAAGGAAAAGTATCAAACTCCATCCAAACAACCCCTCTTGAAGAATGAGCTGAACCAAAGTGATGAAGTCTTCAGGTTCTGCCATCCCCGAAAATCCGAAGTCCTTGCGAAATCCCAACATCCATGGGCGCAGCACGCATGGTCCAGGAGAAAGGGATGAAGCATACGTCTGCCTGAAGCCCACTTATCTTTCAAAAAGTATGTGTTGGCTTGACAGAACATCACGCGATCGATCTCAAAGTGTTGGACCTTTAAAAAGGTCTATATATAATCGTCTTCAACCCCTGAATGAACCCATCTTTGACAAGGCGCACAGATTCCGGCGGTAGGAGATCATCAACGAAACGCGCGAAATCCATCAAATCGGCCTGAGGTCGCAAAGTGTTGAAACAGTATCTTCTCAGCAAGGTCATATGCACTGTTCATGGTCGCTGCTTGTCTTGAGTCATCTATCATGGGCCTCAGTCTTGAAAGTCTTGTCCATATACTCCTGCAGGCCACCAAGTGGAATCACTTCAGATTGAAGCCTGGGTTTCAGCGACCGAACAACATCACAATGTTCTTGCTGGCTGAAACGTGCTCAAAAAGGAAGAATATGCAAAAATATAGAGTAAGTTAATTTGATATTCTCTCAGCTCAGAAGCCAATCCGTAATTGATGTCGTAACCGGACAGGTCAAAACCGCCTTTGGCGCCTTAAGCTTCGCATTGCCATCACCGCCACCAGACTTCCTTTTAGGCATCCTACAACTAAGGGACGGCAAGCGTCGACAGCCCTGCGCAAAGAAAAACTGCGTCGAGGTCACACCTTGCTGTACAATTCGTGACAGCATCACGGGTTGTTGCCAATGGTCGACTTCAAAGTGTTCAGCGCCCCCAAAAACCAACCATAGTAGGAATGAATCCCTTAAAATTGCACCTGCGTTGTTACTTCAATGCTGCATGTGGGTACAGGAGACAAACTGTTTGAAGCGTCGGATTCAGTTGAAATCCGAAGCTTGGAGCTATTGAAACATCAACCCTGAAGAAAAAGTGTGAACAAAAATATTGTGGAGACATCAATGCTTTCTGAAGTGTCGGATTCCACCCGAATCCGACACTTCAAGTTTTCCTGACTGGATGAGCCTGAAGTGTCGGATTACACCTCGGATTCGACACTTCAGGAGTTGGTCTTGCATATTTGGCAAAGTTAAAGGTTGTTGAAAGATATACTTGGGCCCTCAGCCAGCAGGGCAGGGGGGTCCCAAGTGATGAATCCCACCTTGAATTCAACACTTCAAACCCATATTGAAACAAACCCGTAACTATCCTACATACATTCATAAATAGGAACAGAATGCTGCCCGTTTTTTCCCCACAACGTTTAGGGTTTAGGGTTGCAACGTTTAGGGTTTAGGGTTTCTTCATCCTTCTTATTTAAAAAAGCACACAAAATTCGACACCTAACCTAAAATTTTAGTGGGTGCTTCAAGGTGTAGGTTCCCAGGTGTGAACCATCACTCCAAGTACTTCAGTGAGAGGCCACAGCAATGCTGGGAAAATGATGTACGACCAGGTACTCGAAAAGGGAGCCTGTGGTGATGGATGCCAGGTGGGATACATCACTTGCTACCCTTGGCTCAAAACTTGTGTGTGTGGTGTCAGATTCTCCATTTTGTGGCAAACTCCAAGTGTCGGATCTATACCCTCAAGCCTTTCGAGAGCAGAAAGGCTGAGTGGTCAACATTGAGGCTTTTTTGCATGGGCGCAACAATCAAACAATGTAAACACACTGCTTCACACTGCATACTTGAGCACAAAGCCAAATGCTTACACCCTTGCACGCCCCTTCGCCTTGGGTTTTGGTTTAGCCTTAGGCTTACCCACTCCGCAAGGATAGAGGAGCTGGTTCGCTTTATGAACAGCTCGAGTGGACAAGGCCAATGCCTCATCCCATGAGACCCCAGCACTCCAGGCCTCAGCTGCGGCCTCTAAAATGATCTTCCGATTGCTCCGGGCAATGTACTTGTCCATGTTCTTCTTGTCGTCGGCGTGACGGGCAATCCTTGACTTGCAATTGTCCGTTTGGGTTTGATGATGCAAGAGGCTTTCCCCCAATAAGATGAAGGTTTGGGAGGGGTTCGCCAAGTGTGCCAAGCAAAATGGCACGTTACCCTAATGAAATGTAAGGGCTATGGACTTCAAGAATAACCGACATTCATAGCTTTAGGCTCAGCTGCCAAGTGGCTTCAACTTGTTTGGGATGGGATCGAATGTCCTGACTGCTGCAAAGCCAGGATGATGACCATGGTGAGGAGACTGTGGCGGGCTGAAAGAACACCTTGCATCAGTTCTAAACACATGCTTTCATCTTCCCCGCCCACAATTCAAAGAAACTTGAGCCACAACATATGGTATTTGACTCTTTGGACAAGCAACGCTGATACATCCAAAAGGGGCGCAAGCAGAAGTTCTTCATTCGTCCAATCTGTGAAAAATGCGGCTGTTTGATGAAGATTGTATGATTCAAGGATTGGGCAAAACTTGCGAAGATGATCTTTGTAGTCTGATGAGATCTCATTCTTCTCCGCTACACCTGACAGACTCCCCAAAGATTTTGGTGTGAACAGTGAGCAACATTTCTGATTTTGAATTTCATCTGCAACACAAAAACCCAAACCGCCTTGTGGCAGACCTGTTGGGATCCGGTCGTCCCCCATTGCTGCTGGGTAGAAAAGGAAAAATGAATTGTAGTCCTTGTCTTGCAGGTATTGCTTGGTCCTGCAGCACACATGGAGCTTCTTTCAAATTTGAGTTAGCGTGCCCAAAGCAAAGACCAACAAATACCAAGGTTTTGGTTCAGGTGGAGCTGCTGAAACGTAAACAACGCGTGACACTTGCTTTAAACCTCAATGACATGTCATGAGGCGCCGAGTGGCCGCACAAAAACATCGTGAGGCCTTTCATCCTCTTCCCGCAGCCGCCAGTACAGGTCTGTGGCGCCTGCAGCATCACTACCTTGGAAGAATGACGCTTCCCCCCCTCAACAAAGGTCCGAAACCACATGCACTGAGTGAAACGTGAATGACATGAGCATGAGCGGAGCAGAGCTACCCAAGTCTTCCCTTCTTGAAACATCAAATTGATGAGGAGCACCAGGACCTCCCATGCCCTGAATCGTGACAGGCACAGCCAAGGAAAGGAATTCCTTCCTGGGCGCAAGACAAGAGGTGGATTTTTGCCACTTTGGCTTGGGCCAAGAAATCTGACCCCCACAAGTCTTACGCGAACTACCAACCACCCAGTAATTTGGAGGTGCAAACAGGACTTGTGGGGGTCAGATTCCATGACCCAACCCCAATGGAACGTTGGCAACAAAAGGGAAGGAATCTGCAACCATACCAGAAACAACAATTTGTCAACCGTCAAACTTTCATCATAAAAATGATCCAAAGAACAAAATTGAACATCCAACTCAGACTCCAAGGCCGGTGTTGGTCTAATTTGACAACTGCCCGCTGTTCCTCAAATGGTCGCGGGGCAGTGTTCACATAGCTCTGAAAGACTTTGCAGAAATCATCTGGTGTTTCTAGAAGCTTCCCATGGCGGATGATGAACAGACTGCAACCTCCGAAGGTTTGATCAATGTCTTCGTGGCTGTGGCCACTCCTCAAATGCTTCATAGATGCTCCAAATATGATTCCTTGGAGGATTTGATGCTTCCCCCTGAAGCCACACCCACCAGCAATCAAACCTAGAAGCGATCAAAATCGAAAACATTGAGCCAACCCAAGCTTGGCTGCTCCGTTGAACCAAGGCCGTGAGTAGCCTCAAAGTCGTCGAATTTTTGGTCTCTCGCGAGGTGTTGTCTGCTACCAAGTGGAAGGTGGTATCCTTCAGCCTGACTCCCAATCTCTCCAACCGCGTCAACATGTGACAGAACAGATCCGCCATGCACGAGCTATCCTTAGGCTGGTCTGGGTTGCTGATGGCCATCAAAAATGACCACCCGTGTGCTATCACGCCAATCACTCCCAGTTTTGGGCGCTGAAGGGTCGCCAAATCTTTGGCTAAAACCAAACGTGTCCTAGGAAGCGCAAATTTTGCTTGATCCATACCGTCTTGGATGATTGTCAGGTGCCCCATGACACGTAGTCTGGATGAGCCCCGAAAACTCCAGTATATCATTCGGTCGCGGTATTGCGCAGCTAGATGCAAGTGGAACAGCGACGCTTGCTTTGCATGCGCATGGATGTAGGGGGGCCAGCTCCTTCAGTAGGAGGCGGTGATGTATGCAACAAGAACATTGGGCATGACTCGTCACACCTCTGAACTTCAAATAATTGAACTCCGTTCTCCACACCCGCCAAAAGGTGGAGAAACTCACTGAATCGTCCAAACACTTGAACTGTTCATAGTACTCCTTCATCGTGCCAGGTGGCAGATACCGCTCCTCGACACCAG